TGCCCTTCCCCTCCTCCTCACCGTGGCCCGCCGCGCGGCCCGCTGGCCGCCGCGACCGCGCCCGCGGGCGCGTGGTCGGCGCCCGGGCGGCGCCCCTGCGGGGCCGCTGCGGCGCGGGCGGCGGCGGCGGCACCGGCCGCCGCTGCTGGAGAGTGGCAGCTGGAGGCCCCCACCAGCCACGGCGGCGGGGGGGCGCGTCTCAGGCGATCGCAAACATGGATCAAGGGGACGTGGATTAGCGACGGGTCCCGTTTCCATGGGAAATCGCGGATCTCCGCCGCCGAGCGAGGCGGCGCCAAGCCAACCGCATTTTGGGGAGGGCGAATCGGTACCTTTCGGTTCCCCCAGCTTCGGGATCCTTGCCCGCCTCGGGTCGGAGGATGGCGCCGCCATCGGCGATGCGGCCCAACGTGGAGGCCCGAGTCTCGCCGCGCCGATGACGCCGATGCATCGCCGGCGTCGCCGGCACATCGCCGATGCATCGCCGATGTATCGCCGATGCATCGGCGATGCGAACGATCCCACGACCCCATCTACTGGGATCCCAGCTCGCCCTCCTTACGTCTCCTACATATACTGAGATTGTCTTGACGGAGAGCGCACGCTCGCCGAGGAATACGTGTGTGTGTGTGCACTCGCACCAAAGGCCCAACTGCAGTTCGCTCGCCGTCTCGGCTCGCGCTCATGCCACGGCCCGCTGTCCCGAGCCCTCTTTAGACCCCCGGCTGTCGCCGCAAGGGGCTGCCGGGCTCGTGTAGCTGCTCAGCCCAGCTGGTCCCCGCGCATTGCTGTCCGCTGACTCAGCGCTTGTGTTCCTCTGCCCTCTTTGCGCCGATGCCCTCGCGGGCTGCGCGTCTTTTCGTGCTGGTTGATCAGGGCGTCCTGCCCTTTCTGCCGTTTTGTTGTAATAATGTTGGGTGGGATTCGTTCGGAAGCACCGGTTCTTGCTCTCGCGACAGTGACGTCTCTTCGCAAGCGGCGAAAAAGTGTGTGTGTGTGTGTGTTTGTGAGTGTGGTTGTGGTTGTGGTTGTGGTTGTGGTTGTGGTTGTGGTTGTGGTTGTGGTTGTGGTTGTGGTTGTGGTTGTGTTTGTGTGTTTATGTTTGTGTATGCGTCTGTGTTTGTGTGTTGTGCGCGTTTGTGCTTGTGTTTGTGTTTGTGCGTGTGTGTCTGTGCTTGTGCTTGTATGTGTGCTTGTGGTTGTGTGTGTTCGTGTTTGAGTTAGCGTCTTTGTGTTTATGATTATGTGTCTATGTGTGCTTGTGCTTGTGTGTGTGTGTTTGTGTGTGCGTGCGTGCGCGTGTGTGTGTGTTTGTGCGTGTGTTAGTCTATGTGGTGTTGTGTGCTTGTTTGTGTGTGTGTTTGTGTTTATGTGTGTATGTGTGTGTGAGTGTGTGTTGTGTGTGTGCTTTGTGTTGTTCGTGGTGTTCGTGGTGTTTGTGGTATGCGGTGTGTGGTGTGCGATGTGCGGTTTGCGGTGTGTGGTGTGTGATGTGTGATGTGTGGTGTGCGTGTGTTTGTGTGTGCGTGTGTGTGTGCGTGTGCGTGTGCGTGTGTGTGTGTGTGTGCGTGTGGTCTTGTGCATGGCGCACGAAGGGCGTGGCTAGGATCGGTGTCGGTGCATAGTTGCCGTCCTCCTGCCACGGCCCAGCCCCGCCGCTGCGGGGGTCGCCGTCGTCGTCGTCGTCATCGTGTTCGCCGTCGATCGATCGTTCGTTCGCTGCCCGTAAGTCGACAATCGCGGCGATTATACTTTTTGTCGCAGGAGCCCGTTCCGGCCGTTGCGGCTGGATTCCCTTCGAAATTCTGGTCGGAAAGCACCCCAGGAGGGCTAGGGGCTCATTTTAGTGGGGTCGTCGTCACCGCCGTCCTTGTCGCCAAAGACGCATGAATTATGGACTTCGTACCGACCGTATTAACTGAGTGGTCGATTTGGTGACAAGAAGCGGTGGTTGCTAATTCGATTATAACTATGATTGGTGACCAGAAGCGGTGGCATTCCCTTAGAATTATCATAGCTATTCATTGGCTTACGCCGCACCGTCGGCCCCGTGGGGCGGCAGCAAGAGTGAAAGACGGAGTTCGCGGAGCGCGCGCGATCGCTGGGCAATCTTGGAGTTTCGGCTTGTCCTGCGTAGCGCGCGGGGTTCAAAGGGGGGCCTTGTAGGGGATTGTTTTGAAGTTTGTCGTGGTCTTATGTGGGTTTCTTGGGGCCTTCACGCGGCCTGTCCCAGGCCTCCCCTTTTCCACCCCCTTTCTAGGCTCGGGGATCGCTGGGACCCAGCTGGGGGTGCGTCCGGCCAGAAGTTCGAGAGTGGACCCAATTTCGTCGACGAGGAGCTTCTTGAAGGCCCAGGCGGGGGCGGAGAGCACCCAAGAACTAGGAATCTCATGCCTCGAGCCTCGATCCACCCCGTGTTCCTTCGCTTGCGAAGAGGTGGCACTGGCCAGGGAGGTCGGTCCTCATCCCGGACCCTCGGTGGTGGTCCCGGGCACCGAAAACGGTTCCTGGAGGCTCAATTCGAGGAGATGCTTCGGGCGGTCGAAAGACGCGAAAATCTGTGAGACATCGGCGGCGACGACGGCATATGTTTTCTTTTTGTTCTTCCTCCTCTTCCTCCTCCTCGTCCTTCTCCTCTTCTTCTCGATCGAGGTAGATGCCCGCGGCAGTTCTGGCCGCCTTTCCAGATATTTGTTTTGAACAGTTTTTGTGTTTGATAGGTTTCGGTCTCCAGGGGCCGCTGCTGGGCCCCAGGATTTTCAAAACCGGACGGACCTGGGGCGAGAAATTGCATCGGCGGACCCGGGGAGAGGTTCGGGGAACGAGCTTGTGCGGAGTATATAGCCCGTCGGATTCGGGAGGTTTGTGATGGTTGGGGGAGGTCCGGGCCCCTCCCCTGTGCGCCGTGGCTGGATGCACTCGGGAAAACGACTGTGACTGGACTGCGGGAAAAGTCCAGGGGGCCCAGGGTGAACGATTTCTGTGCGGGGAGGAAAAGAAAAGAATTTCGCTGCAGAGTCTCAGTCCTTTCAGTTGTTTCGTTGTTTTCGTCGTCGAAGGGCCGCCTCCGGGGTCATTCGGGGGCAGCGTGGATCCCCGTCAGGGCCTCTCGGATGCATTGAGGCGCCCTTTTCATGTTTTCTCGGGCCGAAGTGCTCGAGAGAGGAAGGCCGATGCTGGCTTGTGGAAGGCCTCTTGGGCCGCGTCCTGGTGGCGTGTTGGGGCGCCCCAGGGGCCTCGGGGGCCGCGTGAAAGGCCAAAAGGCAGACGTGTTGGAAGCATGCGCTTTCCATCGGAAATGGGACGGCCGTTGCTTCTGGAAGGCTTCCTGGGGCGCCTCCGAGTGGCGTCTCGGGGGCCTGTAGGGCTGTCGGGGGGCAATGTTGGACGAGTTGGGGCACTGTCGAACGACTCGGGCCGACCAGGAGCCCTTTTTTTGAAGAACCCTCTTGGCACGTTTGGGGGCCCCCTTGGGGCCGTCCTGCGGCTCGCCAGGGCCGCTGCTATGGATGCTGGGGCCCTGTGGGGCGCCCGGCGGCCGTTTTGGAGCCCTCTTGAGAGCCTCTGGGGCTGTAGTTAGGGGGTCGATATTGGAGGCTTCTTGGGCCGTTGCAGGCCTCGTGGGAGCCCAAGAGGCGCATGTGTTGAAAATGTATGTTTTCCCTAGGGAATGGAACGATGTTTGTTACTGGGGGCCTTCGTGGAGCGCCTCGTAGTCGTTTTTTCAAGCGTCTCGGGGGCCTATGGGGAATCGCCTGCAGGCAAGCTGGGGCGGTTTGGACCGAATCGCCCCCCTCGTGGGCCGTCCACAAGGCCTTTGGGGACCCTCTTGGCACGTTGTGGGGCTCTCGTGGGGCCGTCTTGCGACTGTCCTGGGCCGCTGCTGTGGAGGCCTTCGTGGTGCGCGCGGAAGCCGTCGTGGAGCCTTTCTGAGAGCCTCTTGGGGTGTCGGGGGTCGAACTTGCAGGTTTACTGGGCCGTTGTAGGCCTCGTGGCGGCCCAAGAGGCGAATGTACTGAAAATGGCGGTTTCCCTTAGGGAATGGGACGATTTTTGCTTCTGAAGGCCCTCTTGGAACGCCTCGTTGACGCGTTTTCAAACGTTTGGGGGGCCTATGGGGCCGTCTGGAGGCCGTTTGGGCAGCCTTTGGGGACCGTGTTGACCCGTTTGGGGGCCCTCTTGGGACCGTCCTGCGGCTCTCCCGGGCCGTTGCTATGGTTTCTGGGGCTTACGCGGATCGCTTGGAAGCCGTCGTGGGGCCTTTCTGGGAACTTCTTGGGCTGCGGAGGGTCGATTTTGGAGGTTTCTTGGGCCGTTGTGGGCCACGTGGAAGCCCAAAAGGCGAACGTGCCGAAAATGCACGTTTTCCTGGAGGAATGGGACGATTTTTGCGTCTGGAGAGCCTTATTGGGGCGCCTCGTCGTTCTTTTTCAAGAGTCTTGAGGACTGATGGGGCCGTCTGGAGGCAATCTTCGGCGTTTTGGAACGATCTTTCATCGACTCGTAGCTCTCTTGGACCGTTCTGGGACCCGTTTGAACCTTTTTGGCCCGTTTTGGGGCCTTTTGAAGCTCCAAGTGTGCGACCGACACCGTTGCCCCCCACCCCCCCACCCCATCCAAACCGGTCGGACCGGGCCCCCGGGGGAGGGGTTTGGGGAGGGGGAAGCATCTCACACGCCGTGACCCCAAGGGGTCGGCGGATTGTTCTTGCCGGCGGATACCGCGCCCAGATCGTGACACCAGAATTTCCACGTGGGGGGAGAGGGTAGGTAGCTTCTCCCCCCCCCCCCAAATATGTATATATATATATATGTATATATGTATATGTACATATGTATATATATATGTATGTGTACATATATATATATATATAGTCTGGCAATTGTTTTGGAACTGTCCTTCAAAAACAAATAGACAGAGAACAAGCATACGAAGAAGCAGATTGAAGCAGTGTCGGCCTGGTGGGGCCCGCAGAACGCCTCGAGCCGCTCCTCCGCCGC